GATCTGCCTCTTGTAGGGAATTTAAGGCAACTCAATACTCCCGTTTAGCTCAGTTGGTAGAGCGCGTCACTAGCAATGACGAGGTCAGTCGTTCGAGACTTCGAGTCGGCTAGTGGGAATAAGTACTGTCGTTACGCTCTTTTCTTTTTTCTTTTCTTTTTCATTTACGAATAGCAGCAAGCTTGAAAGTTGAAATGTTTGATGCACTGATGCAGGTTATGTGATAAACGTAAGACGCATTCTTTCGCATGTTATAGCTTGACGATATCAATTTTTCCAGGCTGCCGCGTCACTACTGTGAAGAGGGTTCTCTTCAGTGTAATAGAGACGGTTTAAGGAATATTATTCATTACTATGTATGTAATACTACCTACGTACATGCAGAGTGGAGTGATACAGCTCAAGAGATGCCGCAAGCCAGACAAAATAGCTATAAACAGTGGGGAGAGAAACCAGTATCCGACGCAACGATAGCGAATGAGGAAGACGGTGGAAGGACGCGAGGAACAGGAACGCGGAGAGGAATCTACACTACGGAGTAGCGATACAAAAAGCTAGTCAATACAGCTGAGTTGCGAAGCAGTATACGTGAGAAGATGATATGAGATGTACTACAAACCTGAGAGGTACACCGTTATGTCCAACGAAGGATTCGTTAATGCGATGCTATCCATACTTCCCTTGCTTTCGTGAGCTAGAGTGATAGCGGCAAGCACAGTCCTTCGCGTGGCGCTTAACGTCTGAGCTTGAGAGTGAAAGTATTGCCTCCGCTAGGCTCTAGGCCGTCAAAGATATAACGCCTGCCGATAAGCTGGAGAAGGGTGCCTCCGTTGGGAAGAACTGCAAGGCTTTATGAGCTGAGCTGTCATTATAGCCCAGCGTGGCACTCACTCTTGGTCAGTTCCCTGTGGAGACGGTGTAGGACATCTCTGACAGTGAGAGCGGCCCTCCCGTCGCCAATATTAATGGTAAGCATGCGCTGATCGAGTTGGACTAGGACGGCAAGCTGCCCGGTTGCAGGAATGGTAGCATGCTCCTGCAGAGCAGAACGCAGGCCAGCGTGGTCGACGTCGTAACGCATGTCGTAGGTATAGTTCGGGCGGAAGAGATGGTCGTTCAGGGCTGTCAGACTCCGCGACCTGCTGACCGGGCTCTCGGGAGGAGTAAGTAGGCCGGCTGGTGTATTATTAGGCTGGCACGCAAACAAGTCGCAGAAATGAGTATACTCACTGCTGTTGTGTTGAATAGGGAGTGGAACAGTGGGCATGTACGGCGTCGGTGGAAGCCCAGTATGGCCAGGCGCCAGTGCACTCTGCGGCAGCACCGCTGCAAACATGTAGGGTGCCCCTGGAGTCGGTAGCTGGCCGTTGTGGTGATGCCGGCCGGTCTGCGATGGCGGAGTACGCGGAACAGTGTGTCCGTGGTGAGATGATGGGGTGGTAGGATATTGCATTCTTGCTGATATTTCGTAGGGCGGGATGAGTCAATGAATTTCGGGAGCGGGATAGTACTGTGTGTGGGCGGGAGCGAAGAGGAGAATGCTGAGAGGTGGGGATGACTCTGCCCCGTTATATAGTGCCATTTGTTTGTACCGCGTCCACAGGGGGCGGGGCGATGGCCGACGCGGCGGGGCACGAGTTCGCTGCGAAGCCTGATATGCCACACCGATAGTTGGTTTTGACGCGCAATTTACGGCGCGGTATTTCCATCTATGGTAGGTCCGCCATCTGGATCTGTGCCGACGGATACCATATCAAGTATAGTACCGATCAGCGCCTTGCCTCCCGCCACTCGCATCAATCACCAACCTCGTCTAGCGTCGGGCGACCCTCCGCCCTGTACTTATCGGGGAATCTTCTGTATTATCAGATGGTCGTTGGTAACTGTCTTAGATTGAAATGTTTGCAGTGCGAGTCCAGATCCATTGTCACGGGCGGGCCGAAAGCGCTCCTTATGGCCGCCACTCCGCCGTCATTGGTCAAGCTCGCCCAAAGCCAGCCATTGCCGGGCGGGACGCGCCGGGGGTCTTCGAGGTAGTCAATGCAGGCCGTGGCCACGCCTGAAGAATAACAAACGAAAGAGTTCTCCGAACAAGCGAGTGGAAGTGATAGAATTTGAAGTCAGTCGAGCGACTCCGATTCAGTGGGAAACAGGCCCTTGCCTCTAGACCTCACTCTGACCGCCCGCCGAGCTCATTTCCCTCTGTCTTCCTTGCCAGATGAAGCTGCGGTATCGGGGTTCTTCTTTGTGACGATCACGGAGGCTGCACGGCAAAGATGATCATACTGGAGTCTGAATGGGACGAAGTCGCAGGCGTGGTGGATCATAGCGAGCAAAGCAGTGACATCTCTTCCGGTAGACTGTGAGTCGCGTACTAAGACCTTTCGACCCAAGCTGAGCTATAACATGCATTAGATACGTTCAATCAGCTGAAGAATTGAGAGCCACTTCAAGTCAAGCGTCGATTAGCCGAGGATCCAGAGGTTCGGGCTCTGCGAACGACCTTTGTCTCTCGGCTGCTAACGGACTTGCACCTCACGAGCTATTACCGAGGTACGATCCACTCCAGTCGTCAATGAGACATGGTTTGCCATCTTACACAGCTATGGGGAAAACACCAACGCGAACGTCCTCGGTCCCATCACCTATGTCTTTT